CCCAGGGGGGGGGGGGTCCGGCGCCGACCGCCAATCCCCATCCCCCAGGACCCCAGGGCGAACCTGTTCAGCCAAGGGGGGTGGTTCCCCTTTGGCTTTTCACAGGAGAGGGGGGGCCGTTCTCCCGGACTTACTTAGTTATAATTTCGAGCACGTGCAGCGGGCTGGTCGGGCTGACGGCGCGCTCTGGCTCACTTGTCCGACCTGTGCTTGACGATGGGCACGAGCGGGTGCGGCAGCGTCCGGGTCCAGGTGCGGCTGCCGTCCTCCTCTACTCGGAGCTCGAACGTGTCGCGCGGGTGGAAAGCGGAGAGCGTGAAGCTCTCGGCGAGGCCGAGCAGCGCTAGCGCGAGCGCGAGGTTCTGCCGCACGGCGCGGTAGGCGTCCAGCTCCGCCGCCTCCCCCGCGACGACAAGAAGCGACGAGAGCGCGTCGTCCGGCTCGCACAGCGCCGAGACGCCCGCCGGCAGCGCCGCCGCGTCGACGTCGCCAAACAGCCGAGCCGCCTCGCTCCAGAAGCTGGCGAAGACCTCCTCCGCCGAGCCGGCGCTGCAGACGACGCGCCGCTGCCGGTGGCCAAACAGGCGGTGCACGGTCGAGTAGTAGCCACGCCACCACTCCATCGTCGAGGCGAGGACCGCGGCCGGCTCCGTCGAAGCACCCGCCACCGACTCGACGACGCGCACGTTCGGAGGAGGAGGAGGCGGCGGCGGCACGACGCCGGACGCCGCCTGCAGCGCAAACTGCCTCTCGAGCGCCGCCCGGGCCGCGAGCACCTCCTCCTCCGCCGCCTCCGCCTCCTCCTCGTCGGCAGCGCCGCCAGGTCCGGCGGGGCGCTCCTCTGGCGGAAGGCCATCGAAGCCGGCCGGGCGGAGCGCGGAGGGCCGCGAGAGGGTGAAGGCCGGGAGCGGGGCACGGCGGCGCTCCACCTCCAGCGGCGACTCATCCGGCGAGGTTGGCTGCGAGCCCGGGTGCAGCGCCTGCAGCCGCACCGTCGAGCCGAGGAGCGAGCAGGACGGGCGGCACGAGCGGAGGTGCGCGTCGAGCGCCTCCATCCGCTCCCACCGCTCGAGCCACGCGCAGTCGGGGAGGAGGAGCACGCTGACGGGCGGCGCTGAGGCGTCGGCCGCACCGAGGACAGCCTGCCAGATGTCGCGCAGCGCTCCCTACAGCCGGGCACGCGCTGGAGGTGACGGGATGGTCACACAACGCTTAAAGATAGCACCGCCAAGCCTCCGCGGTGGTGGCGCCGCTCGAGACGATTGGCAGGCTGGCGTCCGCTGGCCCCTGCGACTCGAGCCACGCCCGAAACGTCGACTCCGGCTCGGAGGGAGAGAGCTGGAGGCGAGCGGCGGCGCAGCGAGAGGCGGCGGCGGGCTGCCGCACGACGGACGTTGCTGACAGATGCGAGATCAGCAGGAGCATGCCTCAGGAGCTCCGAGTAGAGGGGGCGTTCTGCTGCTTGGGGAAACCCGCGCAGAGCCCCTCGATGTACGAAGACGAGACGAGGTCACGGGACTCTCGTGATGGAGCACCAGTGCCCGATGCAAACGCTCGAAGATGATGCCAAAGTGTTGTTTACTCGAGTATGAGCGACCCTGCCCGAGGGTTGCTCTTGACTCTGGCCTTTTCGGGTCACGTAGCCACACCTCGCCTCCTCGGTGCGAGTGGCTGCCAGTTCGACTCTGGGGAGGATCGAACCATTAACATGGTACCTCCGGCCGGTGAGATCTCCCAGGTCGACGGCGGTCTGCGAAGATTTGAGTCCCTTCGTGTGTGAGCTACGAAAAAGATCGAAAATATGCCCAAGGTAACCCGGGGGAACTCGCGTCCCGGAACGCCTGCCCTACCTCGAAACACGGCGGTATCGAATACAGCAGCAACCTCGTGCTGCGTCGTGGGGGCGTGTTGAGTATATGAGCGACCCAGCCCGAGGGTTGCTCTTGACTCTGGCCTTTTCGGGTCACGTAGCCACACCTCGCCTCCTCGGTGCGAGTGGCTGCCAGTTCGACTCTGGGGAGGATCGAACCATTAACAGAAAGCGCGTTTCCGTATAGGAAGATCCGGCTCGGGGAAGGCAGCCCCCGTGGGAAAGCCCCCCCGGCCCCCTCCCGACACCGGAGCGGTGCTCCGGGGGCACGCCCCCGTGCACCACCCCCCGCCTATGAACTGCACCACTCCCGATCATGAACTGCACCACTCCCGATCGGGGGCGGTGCTCCGGGGGCACGCCCCCGTGCACCACCCCCGCCTATGAACTGCACCACTCCCGATCGGGGGCGGTGCTCCGGGGGCACGCCCCCATGCACGCCCCCTCATATGACAGCGCACGCCTCCTCATATGAAATGCACACCCCGCTTTTTCATTGAACTGTTGCCCGCCGAAAAGAAAGCCAATTCGCGTGTGCCGGTGATAGTACTAGCACGCGCCAGTTCGCACCTGTGTCGAGCCTGTGTGCTGTGATAGAGAGTTCTTTTGTTTAAAATCTTCTTATTGAGAATGGAGAGTTTTTTCGCAAGGTGCCGCAAGCGGCTCTATGATGTAGGCTGGCATGGCAAGACCCGATATGCCACCATCCGCCCGCTCCGAAGCGCTGTGGCCCTTCTATCTCTTGCTCTCGTCGAGCGCGGTTGCTCTCCTTTTGGCTGCCACCGCCGCCGCCGTCGCCGGCCACGCCGCAGAGCGTTCGAGAGAAGAGACTGCGTCGTGGGCTCTTCCTCACCTTGGCGGGCTTCGCTGCGCTGCCAGCTTTTGGATCCTGGCGGTGCACGTGCAGACGTACTTTTTCGCAACGTTTTGCGGCGAGGACGGCGAGTGGGGCACGCGAACCGACGACCTCGCCGCGCGTGGGCACCTCGGAGTCTACCTCTTTGTCGTGATGTCGGGCTTCGTCACCGACTGGACGGGTGGCGGTCGGTACCCGCTCGGCTCGTGGCGCGCGCTGGCTCGCTTTTACCTCCGGCGGGCCGACCGCGTGCTCCTCTCCTGCTGGGTATCGATGCTGGCCACCGCCGCACTCGACGCCGCCGCCTACGGCGAGTCCGCTTCGTGGCGTGGCGCGGCGCTGTCCTGCGTGCTCTGCCTACCCAGCTGGTCCGGCGAGTACTCCTGCCCAAACGGGTCGACGTGGACCGTCGGCGCGCTCCTCATCGCGTGGCTGCTCTACCCTCTCTTCAACCTCGTCGCGCACTCTGCAGCGGACAGAGGCGAGAGGGCCGCACCGCCCCACCCCTCCTCTCTCCTCCTCTCTCCTGCTCTGCCCTCCTCTGCCTTCTCTGCCCTCCTCTGCCCTCCTCTCTCCTCCCCCTACCCCTCCTCTCTCCTCCTCCTCTCCTCCTCTCTCCTCCTCTCTCCCGGACACATGCCGCGACCCGTCCCGTGCCTTCTCCGCAGGTGGGCTCACAGGGCTCGTCCTCCTCTTCCTCGCCGCCACACTCCTCGCAGGCGCGCCGCTCCCGCTCTGGTTTGGCGCCTCCGGCTGGCGCTGGCCCCGCGGGCCGCAGCCCGGTGTGGCGTGGTACCAGATCGCATGGTGCGCAGCCCTGCGCCCCTCCTCCGCCCGCTCGCCGCCGCCGCAAGGCTAGCCCCCGCCTCTCCGTGTCGCAGGTACAGCCCGCCCCTCTGGGTGGGGCACTTCTTCTCAGGCGCCGCCGCGTCGGCGGTGGCCCGCAGGCTGGCCGCCGACGCCGCGGGCAATCCTCGCGAGGCGCCGCCGGCCGGCCCCTCCCCCGACGGGCTGCCGGCCGGACTGCAGCATGCCGCCGGCGTCGTCTCGGACGGCTGCTGCGCTGTCCTCTGCTGGCTC